AAATTATTTGCTTTCAAAAGAGAAGCCAGTTATACTGTCCATAAAACACCAGTGAAGAAGGCTAATCACACAAATTAGGCATTCTCTATGGAACACTATTTAAATGTTAGAGAGAGAAAAATGACAGATTTGGAGTGGACATCGCATTGCTAAAGTCAGTGGAACCAAATGATTTTTGGACCTTTAATTACTTAATAAAGAATGACTGTTGGCTGCATTAAGATAAAGTAGAAACTGTGTATTTATACAGCTAGTGAAAATAAAATCAAATTACATGAAGCTACGTATTGCTCAGAAAAAGAATAGCCAGCCACGTCAGATAATAAATATCAGAACTATAATAGTAAAATCGAATATTTAATAATGGGTTGCAGCACTAGAAATGGCTTTTTATTTATATTAAGACAATTGTGTTATTACATTGCTAAGTAGATGGATGGAAAGTCAGGGTGTAACTCAAAACATGACAAATAATGACCAGCATCTGATTTAGTCTCAGTTTTCTTTGTAATCTAATATTTATGTGTAAACTATACACGCCAAATTTGTAACCCCAGTGTATATCTGTCAAGAGTAGGCATATGCTTAGGGGAATGTGAATTAACGTTAGTATCAGCTTAGGCAAAGTGTAATTAGAAGGATAAAACTGTCATAAAAAAATAATGCTTGCTAAAGCCATAATATGTTTTCTTTTTATTGCTGTTTCAAAATAACCACATTCTCCTATTCTCCTCCATGAAACTGTACACCTAAGTTACAGTATTTATTAAGCATCCACATGGAAGACAAGCAGGTAAATTTAGTTCATTATTAGAAATTGATACTAAATTGGAAAAACATCAGAAACAAGAGAAGCATTTTTCACATAAACGTAGGCTTAGAACTGAAAAGGGAATAGAATAGATGCATATAAAAGAGTAATTTGAAAACCTAAGGCCTTGAAATCAGATTAAACTAATTTCTAAAACCTGGAAAGCAGAAACCCTGAGAAGATTTTTGAGAATCTGAAAGTTTATCATGCATTTGCAATAAATTTTGGTATGAAGGCAAAAGAAAGAGATAAATACTTAGGTTTGCCTCAGAGCTAACAAACAATAAATAGATCCTTGTAAGAGACTGCTTTCACCTTTTAATATGTCTGAAACAAGAAGAACAAAGAAATGGAAAAACTGTTAGAATGGAAACACTGATTAATGAACAGAATGAAAGCCTATTACAAGAGCAGGATCACAGTCCAAAAGAACTCAAAGGGCATAGATATGAAGAGCAAAATTACTCAGTTACATTAATCTACCATAGTTCAACTAGAATATCAGAAAAAAGCAACAATTATCCTAAATATCACATAAAATCTTCCGATTACCAACCACTATTTGATGTGTGGCCAAAAGAAGCAATAAATAACTTGCCACTGAAGAATAACAAAAAGAATAATAATAAAAAAGAAAAAGAAAAAACAACAACAAAAAAAACCTCTGCAAGGCAAAATTCAAAAGGACTAGCAACATGAGCTGGGTGGTAAATAAAATCTCTCCTGCTTCCTGAATTCCAGAATGAAAGCCTTTGCTAGCTAGAATTATAAAGAAGGATTTTTGAGTTATCAACACATTTACTGGAGGGTCTGAATTTATTCTGCAAAAGGATTCTTGTTAATTAACTGACTGACTAATATGGTTTGAAACGACATCTATTTATTTTCATCATGATAATAAGAAAGACTGTTCTTTTTTTCTCAAAGTGATAAACCTGCAAGGGAAAGCCTGCTGAGTCATTACCAAGGTCCTTTCATCGTTATTTTGGAATTTTCCAGATATTTAAAGTCCAGCACAAAATAAATTTTATATTTGATCATGAATAAAAGGCCATATAACCCAATAAGCCATGAAATTATATAGGTACACACACTTACATGACATAAACAGAACCTACCTTTAGGTCTTTAGAACAGATTATCTTTTATAAAACACCCCTTTTAGCAAAGTAGTGTTTTCAAGAAACTCTATTTACAATGGTTTCTGCCATATACTCTCTCATGTCAAAGAAATGATTTTAAAAATGATTTTGCTCATGACAATTTTAGTTAAGGTGCAACAGGTACATTATAGTCAGTGGCACATTACTTAATTTGTGTTATGTCCTTTAGAAATCCATGGAATAAAGCCCAAAGAGGATAAAACATAATGAGCATCAGTCAAAAAATGATTGCCAAAGATAGAAAATATTATTTCTGAAATGCAGAAATTCCATAAACTCACATAAATTTAGTTCAAAAGCTTGTTCTGGGCACAGCGGTATATTTTATTTCTTTAGAACAGCAGTTGCAAAGCTGTTTAGAACTTTCAAAAACATCAACTCTTCTTTTTGGTGACAAAATGGTGAATGAATCAAATTCATAACTGCAGTTTGTGAAGCACATGGCATTTAGGATTCACAAAATAGAAGTCATGTACTGCTAAAAATAAAGTTTCAACTGAGAAATACAGATTTAATTAAAACTGTGCTCTAGTCAGTGTTTGAATCCATACCACGAAAATCAATTGCACAATGATTACTGAGTAATCGTCTCAAATATAACTTCAGGTGCAGTTTAATGTTACCTTAGAGCAGAGTTCTTAGACTTATGTGGGCATGGGTACGATATTGGAAATTTGTTTAAAATGTAGAAACCCTGAGTCCTGGTGTGAGAAACACAGTCTTAGAGTTATGGAAGGTCACTGAGAAATCATCACTTCTCCTCATGCCAAGGAATGAAGGACTAATGCATAGAATATAAAGGTACATAAAAACTTACATGTCTTTGATATGTTATCAACACCATTACAGTATTTGAATTCTGTGCATTCAAACCTTAGACTCAATTACAAAGTGACTCCAAGCATTCGTTTTTTTCTACAAATGTTGATAGTACCAAGCCTGTCTACTATTTTAAACTCAGAAGTCCAAGAATCTACAAAGTGAGTTGCGTGGAGTTTAGCCCAGTATTTTGGAGCTAGAAGAGAGGATCGGTCATTGAGTCCACTACTCTACAGGTCAGAAAATGAAGCAGAGAGGGGTCACCTGTGCTCCTTTGGTCAAAGACTTTAGTCGAAGGGCCAAACAGAATCCAGGCCTTCTCATGACTTGGGATTATTTCAAGTTAACAAATATGTAATGTTTTCATTACTCAGGAAAGTGTATGGAACTAATTTCAAAAATATTTTAAGGACAATACACTAGAAGTGTTATCAAGAGATAAATTGCTTTGTAGTTAAAAAGTGAAAACTCCAGTCTAAATGAAAAGAAGGGAGAATAAAAGGAAAATCAATTTTTTTCCAGCTCTCATTATACAAGAGATGTTGCCCCCACTTACCAATAAAAGACACTGAGGGCCACAGTGGCCCTCTGCAACCCTCTTTCCAGGGTCACAAAGCCGAAATACATGGCCAAAACAGTATCTTTCCCAAGGCTTATAACTGTTGGCCCTTGTACTACTGTACTATTGCTGGTAGGAAAGAATACAGATATACAAACTAAAAACCATCACTTATTTTAAAACTCTTGTTATTTCATGAAATGGCAGACCATAATAATTTGGTGTGGACATTAAGCAAAAGGAGTTTATATGCCTCATTAAGATAATTTTCTGGAGTTCTGAATCCATAGTTTATATATAATGGGTTCAGTATATTTTCTTTAGCCATAAAATCACAATTGTTAAATCTTTAACAAACTGAAATATGAAGTTATGCAATTTATTTTTGAAAGTAGTGTATGCTACTCCCCCAATTTTGTTCTTTTAAAAATATTTTGTTTTGCAATTTTCAAAATACAGTAGCCTCACAGTGTGTATAGCAATCATAAGACTTTATCAATCTCTGATTTCTGCACTCACATTCAATATTCATCACTTTCCTCTACTGAAACTGTTTCCCACTAGTGGAGTATATTTTTCTTACTAGTGCAATGACATGCTACAGCACACCATCTTATTGTTTGTGAAATCAATACTTAAATTGATTCAGGAAAAGTGTATGAAATTAATTTCAAACATCTTTAAGGGACAATACACTAGAATTACCCCTAAAGTCAGTTATAAGATGAAACCAGGATTTGGATAATAATGATGGTCAATATTGTCCTTGTCATCCAAATCCTGGTTTTATCTTATAAATTAACTCAGAATGTTATTTGAGGCCTATTGAATGGCTAGGGTTGCTATGTTTCTTCAATACTCATATTGTTTTCTAATGGTAATATCGTAAATATAAGCCTGCATCTTTCTTTTTACAACTGATATAAAGTGCATTATGATATTTTAACTGCTATTTATCTTCCTCAGAGAACTGCTTGTTCTTCTATGCTGCATAAACATTTCTTATTTTAAGGTAATTTGTAACTGAATATTTTGAAGATTCCAAATACATATTTAAAAATGCTCTTTTCCTGGATTCTGAAAAAGTTGCAATATGTTGAATTAACTCAAAGAAAACAACTTTTCATATGCAATAAGCTATCTGATTGTCTGAATATCAACACCTATACAAGGGAAGAATAGGATCAACTGAAAAATTATTTTTATTAATGGTTGTTTTTTAAATGCTTTCTTGTATGTTCACTTCACTTGTTTGAAATTGTGCATTTTCACATGTCAAATACAATAAAGCAGTTCAATGAAAAGACTCAAACTGAGAAGCTACAAGTCCCTCAACTTGCCCACATTCCCATTTCCACATTTCCAATTTGCTCCTCCTGCTTCAGTCAGTATCTAGCCTTGGCACGGCTGCTTTCTCTTCTCTCTCTTCTATTTAAAAGGATAGGCACAGCCTTTGAGACTGAATGTCTTTCCCCAGGTCTCATAATAGAAAACGAGGAAAGTCCATTCTGACGACTGGCTGCCTTGGGAAACAGAACCTGGGATTCTTTCCTTTCCAGCTCCTGTTAACTTAAAGGCAGAGGCACCAACCCAATAAATGTGGGGAGACAATAAATGGAAACGGACATAAACAGCAATAAAAGCCTACTTCCTTCTTGACAATCAATACGCATAATGGAATGGGTATGATCTTACACGATACAAGATCAAAGAACAATAGAATTTGGGCTGAAGAAAGTTTAGAAACCACACTTTCCATACCTTTTGATTTTCAAAACGATCTTAAGATTTGACGAGAGTATTTGTTTTCAATTGTTTCAGAGAGGCTCAGTTTTGATCACATACAATCAAACAGATAATTCGATGGAGGACGGTCACAGGATTGGCTCAGATATCTAATCCTGTGAGCAGTCCCATTTCATGAAGGATAAGGTTCCGACGGCTTCACCGAATGTTCCTGCTTTCAACGAGCCTGGGCCGAGGGTAGGCTCCAAGCTGTTGGGACATTTTTAGTCCATCTTGGTCTCTCACCTCTGCCTCCTGCTCAGCTGTCGGAATGCCAGGTGGCTGTGCTGCCCAAAGCAGCCCAGTCCGTTTTAAACTTGCTCAGATTGCAATCAGGTAACCTTCAGGGCCTATTTATATGTGGTTCTCAAGTTTAAGGCTAGGGAAGTTTCCAGGAAGCTTAGTGTTCGGGGAGGAACTCCTTTTGCTTTTGCTAATCAGGGACTCAAAAGCACAGCTGAATCCCGAAGCCGGCACAAGGGAAATGGAGGTACTACTGTCCCCTCACTGGAGGGCGCATCACTTGGGGAGCGGGGAAAAGGTCCCCGCCTTCCTCGAGCCTGGTGCACTTTCGCTCCCACGGCCCCAGCGGGTGGTGATCTCGACACCACGCTGGTGCGGGGTCACACGCCAGAGCTGGAAAGGGGAGGTCCAGCCCCAAGTAAAGCGACAAAGTAAGGACACAGTGGCGGCCAAGGGCTGTCTTCTAGCCCCAGTCCCGAAACACAGTGTGGAAACTCGGCGGGCGCCCCAGCCCATGAAGCGCTCTGCTGGTCCCGCCGCAGCCCCTCCCCTGCGCGCCCCCACCTGTTGTGAAGCTCCCCAAGCTCCTTCTTGCTCAAGTGCTTTGGAAACTGCCAGAGGACACTCAGAGGCCAGGGAATGTGACGGGCAAGCATAAATATGCAGAAGAGATGGAACCAAAATAGTGGGCACGCAGGGCCGGCGCTCGCGGAAGTCGCGGATCTGGAGCCCGGCCCCCGCCACCGAGTCCGCGCCAGCAGTGAGAAGACCTGGCGGGCGGCGCCGGCGCACTCCGGGTACCGAGTCTGCAAAAGGGGCCCCGGGCGGGCGACCGGACACCTCGCAGACTGCGGGCAGCAGTCGTTGCGGCAGCCTCCCTGGGGCTCCACGGACGACTCATCGCCCGCCATCCCCGGCCCGTTCCTGCCTGGTCCCCGACCCGAGCCCCGGAGGCGCCAGCTCTGCCCGGCCACGCAGCCCGGCTGCATGGAGCCCGGTGCGGTGCCCCGGCCGGCAGAGCCCGCCACAGCGCGGGAAGCAGCCACCCGCCACGGGGAGGGCAAAAAGAAGATGGCTGCGGCCGTGGCGGCGGCGGCAGCGGCGGCGACGGCTGCCTCACACGCATCGCTGACGCCAATGGTGCGCGCCGGTCGGCGGGCCGCGGAGGGTGGTGGCGGCGGCGGCGGCGGCCCGGGCTCCGGCGAGGGGCGGGGCGAGGCGGGGAGGGGGCTGGCCGGAGGCGGAGGCCGAGCCAGAGCCTGGAGGGAGGCGGCGGGGACGGTTTGTTGTGCTCGAAACATGGCGGGCGTCGGCGACGCGGCTGCCCTGGGAGAAGGCGGCGGTGGCGGCGTGGACGGCCCGCAGCGGGACGGCCGCGGCGAGGCGGAGCAGCCGGGCGGCAGCGGCGGACAGGGGCCCCCGCCGGCGCCTCAGCACACGGAGACGCTGGGCTTCTACGAGAGCGACCGGCGGCGGGAGAGGCGCCGCGGCCGCACAGGTGAGGCTGGTGGCGCTAGGCCGCGGCGGGCGCCGAGGGGCGGACTGGGGACCGAGGGCGGCGGGGGCGCTTTGGGGCCCCGGCCCCTGAGCCCCGCGGCCGCCGCTGTCACCGGAGGCCGCCCAGGCTGTGGGCGCGCCCAGCCGCCGAGGCTCAGCGGTCGCTGACAGCTCCTCGGGCGGGTTCCACGCGCAGCCCAGTGGCCCCCGCGGCCGCGCCAGGCCAGGTGTGCACTGGAGGGGGTCTGTGGCCGGGGAAGTTCTGTCCCGGTCCTTGCACCGTCCTCGGAAGGTCTTAGGTTGGCGGGCATCTCACGTCTCAGGGAGCCCAAACGTGAGAAGCACACGGCTGATTTCTTAATTATGTTCATGCCAAGGTGACTTTTTTTGTTCTGTATTTTAAGCGAACTTGAGCCATAAAAACCTGTTAACTTGCCTTCCGAATAGATTTTTCACAGACAGCTAACGGTGTGGTAGTGACCATGGTTCAGTAGTTTTGCCCAGGACAGAACTATTTAGCACTCCATAAAATGTTGCACCTGAACTTTTTCTAAACTGAAACTTAATGTCAAAAAAAAAAAAAAAAATTGCTGGATGAGAAAATGTGTACTTATTAAGACACCATTCAATGACCGGTTTTAAACATATTGTTAAAATGTTACAATTCCTATAAGCTGTAAGTTTTTTTCTCGTTTTTAAAGAATTTTTTTAAATTGCATTTGTATTCATATTGCAGTTGCAAATTTGTTCTAAATGAAAAAAAGATTTTGATATGGATGTCTTGTTGAATATAGAGTGAACCCAACGATTTAATTATTGCCTAAGTCTAAACTTTAAACAGCAACTGAACCATAACTCCATTAAATTTCTTCCAACTAAAAAATTATTTCTGTTGTCCAAAAGGGGCTGTTAGCCATTATTTCCTGCAGTTCATCTAAATAACTGTTTAAGTTGTGAGGCTGATTACATCATTTATTGTACTTGAGTACTGAAATCTTAAGAGTACTTAAAGGACCATAAAGTTGATCAGATGAAATTCTAATTGACTTGCTAATTCCCAGAACTGGACATAGGTTCGATTTTGAAGCGGTCCCTATCTTTGGAAAATTACAAACTGTCTTGTTTGGTCTTTTTCAATTAACTACTTAAGAATTCTCAACCATACTTTATTTGGTTTAGTTCTAAGTTAAACGTTTGCTTGCAAGAGTATTTACTTTCTGAATTGGCAGGATCTAAGTAAGACAAAATATCAAATCTCTTAACTCCCTGTTTACTTACTTAGACTTGAATATTAAAAGCGTTCTGTTGTAAATATGAATAGATGGGGCCAGGCTTCACTATATTTTCTTTAAAATATTTCTCAGTTGCAGGAAAGCCACCATTTAAAAGCCCTTTTTTGTTGTTTGCATGGAGAGGAAATGAAGTTGTGTGGAGCGTACTGATGAACATAGACCTTGAGCTTGCAGTATCACTTAACACTTCTTCCCTGGCTCTTTCTGAGACTGCATACCTGGGATGCGTCTGGATGCCTGGACTTCCATGGGCTTCGTTATACCACATATCCATTCTTCACCAATATGGTTCACCATGTTTAAGGCTGGATTTTTGTAACCCATAGTTGCAGGAAGTCATTATCAGGGAGATGCCTCCAGGTTTACCTGTTGGGGTAGTCCTTGTTCTTTCCGCAGTTCCATTGGTTTTGTGTGAGATGTCAGTGGCACTCTTGCTATACCAAGTCACACTAGCCTTGGCGATCAGGATTTAGGTGAGAATTCCAAATTCCAGGAATATTTCAGCTGGAGCCACTGGCCAGTGTTCTCTCTGGGCCTCCATTTGAACCCCTGCTTCTTTTCTCCTGGTGTGCCTGCTCTGCTAGTCACATAGCTCCTACCACTGCTAGCACCCAGCCTGTAGCTCTGATAACCACATTTGTTAGAGGTTTCCCCACTAGAGACTGAATTATTTAAGTCCTTCGTTGCCCAGACTGCTAAGTCTAGAGCTGCCCTCTTCCACTGCTCTGTAATCCTTCCTTCCCCTCCTTTTAAAAATTTAGAAAAATGATTCCCTAGGAGCTGGCCTGGATCAGAGGGCCTTTGAGTGGCAGCACGTATTGTCATTTGGATAGCATTTATCCCTGAATCAAACTAGTCCTCCAAGGCTAGATGCTCGGACTTAAGGTATTGTCGATTTTTTATATTCTGGTGGTGCCTCAGAGGGCCTAGCACCCCTGCTCTTGAGCTCTAGATCCCCCTGCAAGTTAAGGCAGCCTTTGGCTTTTCTTTTTGAAAGTCATAATCTTAGTGTCTTGGTGGCCGAACCATCAGTTAGTTGCAAAGTCCTCTTTATCATTTCTCACAAGGAATTTAGGGCTCCTACAAATAAGACATTTGTTGATCAGGCCCAACAGCCTAGAACTCCCTAAATAAATGTACTTAATAGGTACTTATCCAAACCTTTTCCATCTGAATAAAATAAAATGTGGTATCTGAGATTCATTTTGTGTTTTATATCTCTCCTTGTTGATTTACATGTTTAGAAACTAAATATGTATATTTGTTTGGATGAACAGCTGTATATGCCATATGTTGTATTATATATATGTGTGTCTCCATCAAGTGTAAGCTTCCTTTTCCTTATCACTTGGTTCTTGGAACTCCCGTTCTGACTTATATTTAGCCTGGCAGTAGGCTGAAGCTTGTCTCAGATGCGAGTACTTACACCTTTTAACATAGTTAAAATTGGCTATCCCACTCATCATTCCTATTTTCATTTGCTCTCTCAGAGTGGTCACTGTGTATTCCCTTGTTGCTTATGTGGTTACTGGCCTTGGACTCTGGTTATAGTAGTTATCAAGAACTGCAGATTAATCTCTTCTGTCTTTTTTTTCCTATCCTTAAAAGTATATCAACTTCTATTGTCCCTTTTGACATAAAACCAAATAATAAACACATATTATGTTTTTTCTGGTTGTACTTCACTGGATTCATCTGCAGAAGTCCTAGGAAGGAGATTTTCTGTATGGCCATATTTTTATTTAGGAATCTAAATCCAGCAAACCAACTTTGGACTAAGCATTAGGAAATCTGTGTTTTTGGCTTGGTTGGGTTGTTGAATTGCTTTGTAAACTCTGTGCTTGCTTAGACTGCTTGCCTAATCCATTTGGCTCTGTTTCATAATGCCACTGTTAGATAGTTCAGTATCTGAAGCATCTAGGTTGGTTCTAGTCACCATGGAGACTTAACAGAAGGCTTGGTGTAAATTAGGGTAGCACCTACCTGTGTGGATGAAACAATACCTGTGTAATGCAGATATTGGAGATGCATAGGAATAGATATTGCTTGTAAAACAAGAAAACTTGAAGTCAGGTATAGGGGAACATTGTTTCTACTGGTAACAGTGCCGTGGACCTGTTTCTTTCCTCCTTTAATAGTGACTCTGGACTTCTAAAACTTCAACTTCTTATCCATCTCTTTTGCCTCTCTCCTCTCCCTTTAACCATGGTTAGACCTCTTCTTGTTTCATGTCTGTTAGAGGTTGAGCAGAGGCAGGAAGATTGAAACCCAGAAAAGTCAACTGAACTTTTAGTAATACCTTCAAAAGGTTTTGAGTGGGACAGAGGTTTTAACTATTCATATTACATATGTCATATTCTTTGTGTAGTTGAAAATTTGTCAGTTTCTTCTTAAAAATACCACATTTTTATTAAAATATGTTTTCATTTAATCAGTTTTCACCATCCATAGCGTGTATCACATAGTTATTCCAGTGGCCCCAAAATTAACCTAATGGATGATTAAAGGGTGACTGACTCTAAAATTATGATCTAGAGTAAATTAACTTCTTTACAAAGAAAAATAATTATCAAACTGGGAAATGACTTCGAGTAACAACAAAGCAGATACAAAGTAAAATTAACTTCTTCTGACAAACTATTGCTTTGCTTTTAAAATTCTCACTTGCTTTACTTAATTAGTATGTATAAACTAAACAATGAAAAGTTACTGATTTAGGGTTTTGATCAGTTCAGTTTCTTGGCTTTTTATAATTTTTAACTTTAACTTAGTTTACTCCCCAAAATTCAATCCTAGCAGCTCATTTGTGCTCCAATTTGGGTACTACTAGCATAAAAGACATCTCTAGAAAGACTACATAGCATTGACTATCAAATTAATGATATTCTGTTCTCATTTGTAATCCTTTGCTTTTTAACTTTATGTCCTTGGAAAAAAAGTCACTTTTTTTATATACGTGTTTTCCATCTATACCTTTATATATATTCCACTCTTCACTCCCCTAAATGAGACCATAAACATTTTTTTGAAGATCTTAAAAACTTGAATATATTGTGTAAAATGGTTCTTTTACTTAATGTTTGACTTAGGAAGGCAAAATTGCTGTTTTATTATTGATTCCCAGTAAAGTTGATTACTAACTGGCCTTGTACAAGAGTGTGTCTCTATATTTGTTTAATAAGCTTATTTAATATTTTAGTGTAAACTTTATTAAGTTTACTAAAGTTTTGTATTAAGACTATGGAGATTTGCATGTTTCATATTTTCCAAACAGTTAACCAGTATTACTTTCCAACTTTTTAAATGCTCAATGCTACTTTAAGAAAGATATATTTAGGCATATTACTGAACATATAAATATGATTACTCATTACTTTTAATTAATATTTTTTAATATTAGGTTCTTATTTCTAAAATAAGCCTCCTTAGAAGATACTTGAACATTGTGTTTTTCTTTTAGGGTTGAGGAAAAAGCAATTTATACTGTCCTTTTTCTCAATTTAAGGTACCGGATCAAAGAGCAGTTCTGTGGTAGGAGGTGACATCATATAAAAATATGCTGAAGGAATTGATTTGGATTGACGATTGGTATTATTTTCTTCGTATTAAATACTCACAGTTGACAGCCAAGCATGGTGGCTCACACTTGTAATTGCAGCACTTGGGGAAGCTAAGGTGGGTAGATCGCTTGAGCCCAGGAGCTCAAGAC